AAAAAAAAATCACTTAGCTGCAGTACAAAGATAGCTCCTTTACCACAAGGCAGCCTATAACTGGTCCTATATCCACCTGGCTCTTTTGTTTGGGTGTCCTCATTTTCAATGTGTGGGACACTGACCCTAGGAGCCAGCACTTTTGACTACCCTTTCTCTTTATAAGTAATAAATTGGGTGAATCTAAAAGCAGCTTCACTGGTTAAATCAAATATTTAAAGCAGTGGACAAATTTTGTCTTCTGGAAGGAATTCTGCCCAGAAGCACGTGAACATGGTCACAAGCCTCAAGTGAGGTTGTACGCCTTGTGACATCTTGATTATAGTCTGTGAAAGCTTGAGTGGAAGACTCACATAAGCAGTCCTGGAACCCCTGACTGAGAAACTGTAAGATAATAAATATGCATTGCTTTTAGATGTCAAGGTTTTAATCTGTTATACAGCAAAAGAAAAGTAATACACTTAGAATAGTACTCACATTAATTTGTTGGTACAAGTTAAACATTCCTAATTTGAAAATCTGAAATGCTCCAAAACATGAAATTTTTTAGTGCTGACACAGCACCACAGTATGTTCTATACCTGACCTCCTGTGACAAGATGCAGTCAAAATGCAGTTACACTAAAAATATTGTACAACATTATCTTAGGATGTATATAAGAAACACACATTAATTTCATATTTGGGTCCTCTCCCCAAGATATCTCATTATGTAAATAATCCAAACCCCAAAATATCTAAAATTCAAAATATTTCTGGTGAGCTATGCATTTCAGATATGGACTACTCAACCTATACTCTAGTTTCCTATCTTGAAACCTTTTAAGTTAGGATTAACTAAAGTGAATATATTTCTTCACACCAACAGTTACTTGACTAAAATTAAAGCCAAAATATCTGAGCAGTTACTGAGGACTCTACTACACTACCTCCCCAGCTACACCACGGCAGTGACTATCATCCTTTCTCAGATCCTTAGTCTGGGCCATTCTGTTTATCTTTCAAAGTCTGTCACACTTTATAGGCTGGTCAGTTTTTAGGGCCTTCCCTCAGGTGATTTTCTGTTCTGTCCATTCCTTCTCTCTTCCTGTCATGATCCATCCTTTTCCAACATTAGACCCATTCACTACAGCACAGCACAGCCATCTATCACCAAGTAATATATATACCAAAAGGTTTTTTTTTTTTTTTTTTAAATGTACTTGATTGTTGCAGGGTCTCATTGTGCAGCTCAGACTGGTGGTGATCCTGCTGCTTTCAGCCTCCCCAGTGATGGGATTACAGCCATGTTGGGGACGGGGCTGGCACAGCACATGGTGCTGGGGATCAAACCACGGGCCCTGTGCTTGTATAAGCTTGCCTAAGCAGGTGCTTTAGTCTGCTGAGCTATCTTGCTGGCTCTACATCAAAAGTTTTAAACTGAAAATCCATTAGCCATTAAATGAAAAACAATATATGGGTGAGGATAAAAGATACAAAAATTTAGGAAATAGAGATAAAAGATGTTATAAACGAATTAAATGTATTCTATTTTGATTCTGAAAATGAGAATCAAGCTACAGAAAAGAAACCAAAATATATCTTCAGATTACGCTAAATGGATTTCAAATAAGGTAAGCAAGAAAAAACACCTTCCATTTACTGAGCTATAAAATTTAGGGATAGCTTTATTAAGTAAATATATGTAGGCGTTATATTTAGTTTATATTTGGAATTAGAATTTTTTTTCTGCAAAAGATAGCAGATATTTTAGATACTTAGGCCACAAGATCCTTGTCACAACTACTTAACTATGCCATCGTACCTCAAAGACTGCTATGGATAATACGAAAACAAATGGGTATGGCTGTTCTCCAATAAAACTGTTCAAAAGACTGTCAGATTTGGTTTAAAAGCTGTAGTTTTCCAAACCCTGGTTCACACAGAAACATGACAATCTTTTTTTTTTTAAAAAAAGTATCTCAAGAACTTACTGCTTGATTTTATCATTTCTAGGTCCAAATCTTGGTCCAGATGGTCCCCTTCTGAAAGTAAAATATCCATTTTATATTAGTAATAACAGCATCAGGCAAAACCCAACTCACACATCCATATATACAATTAAGCTGAATTTTAAGCATGAGTCAGTCATTTACTGTAAGGAACTACATCATACTGGTACTCGTGAAACCGAATGGTATATGACATATCATGTCTCTTTTATTGGTACTTCCTATAAGACACAATTAACCTAAGTTTTCTGAACGTTTTTTCTAATCATTAAATCCTGAAATATCAAATAAAAACTGTTGATGAATAAGACTATTTCCATGATCAATTCTAGAACAAAAGTGCAATTCACCTTGATTTAGCTTATGATAAAATGCTGGCTGAGTGGTGGACAGAGAAAAAGTTCATTTAAAAGGCCAAAAAGGGGCCAGGGAGATAGCTCAGTAGAATAAGTGCTTGCCTGGCAAGTGCAAGGTCCTGAGTTCAATCCCCGGTACCAGAAACAAACAAAAGGCCAAAAAGGCTTTCAGGTCCTCCTTTCCAAGATGACAAAAAAAAAAAAAAAAAAAAAAAAGAAGGAAAAATGGCTGTGCCAAAAAGGGCCACAGACTATTTGGTGCACGAACTGTACCTGGTGTGTACGCAAGGATAAGGCCATTAAGAAATTTGTCATTCAGAACATACTGGAGGCCGCCACCATCAGGTACATTTCCAAAGTGAGTGTCTTCGATGGTTACGTGCTTCCCAAGCTGTATGTGAAACTGCATCACTGTGTGAGTTGTGCCATTCATAGCAAAGTGGTCAGAAATCGATCTTGTGAAGCCCACAAGGACTGAACACCTCCACCCCAATTTAGACCTGTGGGTGCTGCCCCATGACCTCTACCAAAGCCCATGTAAGGGGAGCTGGGTCTTAATAGACTGAAGAAAACTCTTGAGAAAGAAATAATACATTGAATGTTATACTTAAAAAAAAAGTCAAAAAGTTTTAAGTATGCTTTTTATTACTCATCATAAGCTTACAAGCACTGCAAAGGGAAAATGCATGAGTCTAAAAAAAAGCTATATAAGAAAACTTTTTTAAGATTTTTGAAGAAAAAAAACTTTATTAAAATTACTTAAGATATTTTATGAGTATATCTTCAAGTTGCATTCACTTATATATGAAGGCTTCGAGTTTATTTTTCTTTGTAGCTGAGTAATACTCCATTGTATAAAAACACCACATCTTTTTCTTCCATTCCTTAGGTGAGGGGCATACTGGTTGTTTCCAAGATTTGGCAATCACAAATTGTGCTGCTATAAACATAGGCACACATATATCACTATGATATGATGTTTTCAGTTCTGATAAAATGAAAAAGGGGGATATGTTGAGAACCACGAAGCTAGGAAATTGATCAAACAGGTGTAGGTGGGACTTGGCCCAGTGCCTAAAGCAAACAAGCTGCCTCACTCCTGAGATGAACTCCTGTCTGGTTAAGGTTAGCTATCAGCTGCTAGGCAACCTGGTGTCATGCATCACTAACTTCACAGAAGTGTAAATAAAGGACCATTTTGCTGTGAAAAAAAGAGAAAAAAATGTATGTATACACAAAAGAATCAAGATAGATATACAGCTACTTTCTTTTAGTTCACTGTACTAATATTAGACAAGATATCATGTCTGCATCTTGTCCTCTGAATACTATGAAGACAATATGCAATGCATTAATTATTGTAACCATCCTACCAACCTGTTCTGAAACTGTTTCACTGCTATTTTATCTTTTCTCATTAAAATGAATTTAAAAAAAAGATACTTCACAAGTGTGAAATTATCATCTTGCCTTAACCCTTGCTTTTTTAGTTTCCTCTAAGCCTGGGAATGCTAGACCAGTATTTTACTCCACAATGACATGTTAAACACTGACTTCACAGTGAAAATTAATATTCTGAGCCAGAGGAACTACAAATGGGTAAACTTAAAAGGATAAAAAAAGCAATTACTGGGGCCTGCCCCTTAGCTCAGTTGTTTAAGTGGTTGCCTCAACAAAGCAGTCAGCCTCAGGTTGCTGTGGTTCGATCCCCACAACCAGCCCCCCCCCCAAAAAAAAAAGCAATTACTAGTGAGGAAACTACAAAGTGATATAGACACTTGAAATTACTAGATTTAAATTATGCCCACTGTAGTTTTTTCATAAAGGGAGTTACATTTGTTTCATTAAAAAAAGTAACATAACACTTTAAAGTAGTTACTAGAAAAAAGTTGATTTTTCTGAAAATTAAAAATTGATGGGCTGGTGAGATGGCTCAGTGGTCTAAAGCACCTACTTAGAACAAGCTTAGCAAAGCACAGGCGACCGCGGTTCAATCCCCCAGCACCACATGCCAGCCAGCCCCGCCCTCTGGTGGGCTGAGCTGGCCACACACACACACACACACACACACATAAATAATAAATAAAAATTTAAAAAAAAAATTGATGAAGAGCCAGGGATATAGCTCAGTGGCACAGTGCCTGCCTGGCAAGTGCCCCACCCTGAGTTCAAATCCCAGTATAAAAAAACAAAAAAGATGAACTTCAATCCAGATCATTCAGGGGTTTAAAAAAAAGGAATTACATTTTGGCACAAGATATGGACTGTACTATAGAAAATGTACCACGGTGATGTAAGAAGTATCAAGGAATGGCCATGCAGGTAGATGGCAAATCACTCTACTATCTGTGCAGCTCTTCGAAAGTCTATAATTACTTTTAAATCAAAAGTAAAAAAAAAAAAAAAAAAAAAATCCACAAAGAAAATACAGGACTAGATGATTTCAACAGTTAACATTTAGTGAATAAATACTATCAATTCTATGCAGGCTTTTCTGGAAAACTGAAGACAGAACATTTCTCAAGTCATATGAAACCACTGATCTACAAAACTGAAGACACTGCAAGACCTAACTATCAAGTAACCAATCCTGCTCACGAACACAGATGCAAAAATTCTTCACAAAATCTTAACAAATAGATTCCAACAATGGTTTAAGACAGTAATACAGGACAACTAAAGTACGGTTGACCCCAGGAATCAAGATTGGTTTAAAATTCCAGAATCAGTCAACAGACATTATAAAAAGAAAAAAAAAAAAAAAGATAAGAGATAAACCACAGAATCATCACAACAGACATAGATGACATTCTGACAAAATTGAACATTAATTAATGATAAAGATTTAGCAAAGTAGGGTTAGAGAGGCACTTCCTCAGTCTAATAAAAGGTATCTAATCATCGCAGGGCACCACCACCACCACTACTCCTGCAGTACCTCAAACTCTGTGGTGAAAGAAGAAATGCTTTACCCGACAGGAGATCAAAAATGAAACAAGGACACTCTTCTTCACTATTTCTATTCAAAACTGTACTGGAGCTTCTAGTCAGAGCAAAAAGGCAAGATACAGAAATCAAAGCATACAAATAAATAGGAAGAAGCAGAATTGTCTTTAAAGATAACATAATTGTATATGTAAAAAAATCCAAGTGGATTTATAAAAATACTACTAACATTAAGTGCACTTAGCAAGGTTACAAGACATAAACAATGAATAATATGAAACTAAAAAGTTTTTAAATGTCATTTTTAGCCAGGGCGATGATTCAGTAAAATACACACTTCCCTGGCAAGCACAAGGGCCTGAGTTCAATCCCTGGGTCTGCAAAATAAAAAAAAATAAAAAATAAAAAAAGTCATTTTTAGGAGCATCAGAAAGTATGAAATACTCAAGGGTGTCTCATTACCACACAATCTGTGAGTGTGCCCAATTTTTCGATAGTTCACTTAAACTATCACCTTAAGTTTCAGACCAGGGCTGGGGAGATGGCTCAGAAGAGTAAGTGCTTTCCTGGCAAGCAGAAGGGTCTGAGTTCAACCCCCGGTTCCGCCAAAGAAAAAAAACAAAAAGCTCAGACCCCTCAATAAACACCTTCTTCAACTGCTCTAGTTCCTTGAGAGATTCCCCAACCAAATGCTCCACAGACTTTGGCTTACTCTTGTGTTGAAGAGGTGGACACAGGAGTGTGTGCTGGACCACACAAAGTTGATGAGCATGATGGGGAACCAAAGAGCTGCTTTCTAGAGAGGATGCAGCAAAGCTTAGTGCCCATCTAACGGTGAAGAAAATTTTTATTGGCAGTATTAAAGAAGATACAGAAGAATATAATGTGAAAGACTATTTTGAAAAAAACATGGCAAGATTAAAATCACAGAAGTTATGGAAGACAGGCAGAGTGGGAAAAAGAGAGGATCTGCTTTTGATGATCATGATATAGTTGTTAAAATTGTTGTCCAGAAATAACACAATATTAATGGGTATAACTGTGAAGTAAAAAAGGCCCTTTCTAAACAAGAGATGCAGTCTGCTGGATCACAAAGATGTTGTGAAAGTGGATCTGGAAACTTTGTAGATCGTGGAGGAAACTTTGGAGGTGGTGGAGGGAATTTTGGCTATGATGGAAACTTTGGTGGAGGCGGCAGCTATAGTGGTGGAAGAGGTGGCAGCAGAGGTAGTTATGGAGGAGGAGACGGAGGAAAAACTATGTTGGTGGTCCTGGTTATAGGAGTAAAGGAGGGTATGGAGGTGATGGTGAACCAGGTTATGGAAACCAAAATGGTAGATACAGTAGCGGTGGAGGAGGACATCATGGTTACAATGGGGTAAATTTGAGGGTAGTAATTATGGTGGTAGTGGGAACTATAATGATTTTGGAAATTATAGTGGATAACAGCAGTCAAATTAAGGACCCAAGAAGAGGGGCACTTTTGGGGGAAAAGCTCTGGCAATCCCTATGGTGGTGGTGATGGATGTGGTGGTAGTGATGGATATGGTAACAGAAGGTTTTAAAAAACAACAAAAAAGGGCTACAGTTCTTAGCAGGAGAGAGAGCGAGGAGTTGTCAGGAAAGCTGCAGGTTACTTTGAGACAGTCGTCCCAAATGCATTAGAGGAACTGTAAAAATCTGCCGCAGAAGGCATGATGATCCAGTCAGAAAAGTTACTGCAGCTGCAAC